TTTATTTTTTATGGAAATTGTACATTAAAGGTAAATTTTTTTTTTTTTTTTTACAATTGGTAATAAAATTTGTGTCTATTGCCAAAAAAATTAAAAAATATATATATAACCTGGAAACCATTTTCCCACCTAAATGGTGGGAAAATTGTTTCCTTCATTTTGAGGAATTGGTGCATGTGTGGGGGATCATTGAATTAATTTTCCATGCAAAAAAAACCTATCAAACAACCATTTCAATTTCCATGAAAAATGGAATTTTTTTTTTTATTTTTTTTCCATTTTCCATGGAAAAAATGGGCTATCAGACATAGCCTATATATTTTTTTACTGCCAGTCCACTTGATTTCTGAGCAGAATATGGGTATGAACTTAAAATGTTCTCAGATTTTATTGAAAGTCTTGATTATCAATTCCAAGTTTGGGACGTTGACTTTTAATTCAATTTCAGTGCTGGGATCGAGAATATCAAGTTTATCCTCAATCGTAACACAAATTTGGTTAGGGTGATACTTGTCGAAACTACGATTGAAATGGTTTTATTCCCTCTCCACTTCAATTCGTCATCTATGAAGACAATTTCTTATATACGATACGATGAATCTCAAATGATTATTCAGACCTGAAAATGTGAGATTACAATGGTACGAATTCTGAATAATCAATATGTCGACATTTGATAATATGAAAGTAGCACATTCGAAAATTTAAATCCATACACTAGCAAACATGTGAAATCAACAGTTGAAATGTCTATCCCGATATTTTCTAAATGTCGAATTCGATAATTGAACTGTCGGAACTGACATGAAACATTTAATGTGGGTGTGATTGGAACAAAATTTTCATAACATTAAGTGTGATCATCAATATTGTACTACCAAATGACAAAATCTTCTTCCCAAATAATTTGCACAGTAAATCATTATAGATACAATCCTTCAAAATATTTATTGGGTTTAATTGGAAGAAATTATTCAAAACATTAATGGTGATAATCAATTCTCAACTACAACATGACATCTTCCTAAATAAATAACTCAATACTTCATTAAATATGAAATATTTCATAACATTTTATAGAGAATATTGTTATCTTTATTCCAAAATATTTGAAAAACTAAAAAAATCAATGAATAATAATTTCGAAAATTTAAAAGAAATATGACCATGTTATATTTAACATTTCAAAAATAATAAGTTATAAGATAAAAATACAAACAATTTCTAACATACTAACCTCTCAAAATGGAAAATGAATCCAATAGTATTTTCTTCTTGATGAAGGAATAGAGAAGATTGTAAGAAAATTAGGGTTTGTTAATGGTAGAAGAAATTGGTTTACACTCACTTTTCAAAAAAAAAAAAATCTTTTTTATTAAAACATTACCCAATATAATATACATATATCAAATGTTTATAGTACACAAACTAAATCATCATATCATAGCATTAACGAGCATTAAATGCTCTCAAAAAGGCACATTCATATTTTTTCAACTACACATTTCATCAATTTTTATCAAAATCCTACCAATTTCAATCAAAATAAGTAATCATTTGCAAACAAAGACAAATTGAATTCCTTTATTCAATAGTAGTAGTATAGTTGAATTTCCCTTCTATGTTCCTTTCGGCTACTTGTGAGGAAGTCGTATATTCTAGACTATTTTGGATTTGGCACAAAATCTACAAGCTGGAGATAGCCACAGTGTTATCTGGTACAAACTAGTGGAGATCAAGATTAAAATTTGGCATAAAATAGACGTGCATACGGCCAATTTTTCAAACCAAAACCTATAGAAATTGACGACCATCTTTGCGTTTGTTTTTCAAAAGCGTGGAAGTTATGGTTTTTACTACAAGTTCGCTCTCATTTTTAGATGATCAATTAGGAAATGAAAACCTCAATGAATGTCCTAAATTCATACATGTCTAGGCATAAAATTTATATCATTTTTCAAAGTTGTCGATGGAGAAGTCCATGAAGCAAAAACAGTAAAAGAAAACCTCTATGAATGTTCAATATGTCAATGAGAGACATTTGTGATATTAATATTAACTGCGGTGTGCAACTAATTCATAAATTTGTATTATTTTTTGAAGTTGTTGTAATTTGGTATCCTAACAAATTAAAAGAAAATCAAATTGTGATTGCTACTTTTGTTGAGTGAAACTACATAAACATTTCCAAGGTGGAGGTAGATTCGGATTAGTGTCGAACCAATATGCATATGGTGCTATCTTTCTTATCCTTCTTTTTATAGCTCAATCATAGAATTATGAACCTTGTATTGTCGATATTCATCTAAATAACTCGATTCATATGGTCATTTTGAATATATTTGATCGTACATCAATTAGTTTCATGAAATTTTTACCATCATTTTACTTAAGTCATACTTAATACTCATTTCATTGTTCAAATTTATCATTTTCAAATAGACTCAAAAGGTTTAACAACCAACATTTTTTGTCAAGAAATATTTTTCAAATTCACAAATAATTAATTAAAGCAAAATTTTATTATCGTGACACAATTTTTCTAAAACTAAAAAAATCGTGATTTAATCCATTATTGGACGTTTACAACTAAGAACATCTCCAATACATTTTATGAATTGCTATCTAGGTGACGTATACGTTGAATGAGACATTAATATCGAATAATATACACATTCAAATCTAAAATTACTTTTCAATAAATTCTATCTACAACCGATAATATTGTATAGATGTCAACAATCTAAAGTCTAGCTTTAGAAAAGTGATTAAATGGTTGTTTTACATTTTGAGAAGTAAAAATGATCTTTTGAGATCTAAAAGTTGTTTTTGGACTCATTTGATTAATTTTATGAAAGTGTATTTTAGAAATTAGTTTTAAAACAAATTTTAAGATAGCTTCCCTCAATAAATTTTTTTACAGAAAGTAAAAGCAAAAATTATGGCAAACGGACCATAACCAAAAGAAGCTACCAAGTTTGTCTATATCCCAACGAAACTCATCACTTTGTAATATCTTCATTGCTCTTTGTAATCTCGATGTTTCAATGGGAATTTGATTTAAAATTCCAAAAACACCTTATTTAATGTAAATAAATAAACAAATGTAAAATCTCACTAACTCTACAAATGCAAGATACTATTTTGTCCAAAAATATAAAATAAAATGAAGTAGAGACACAATCTAACGCGGGACGAAGACATATATACTAATAAAAAGTTCTTGTTCGGATATTGCTCAAATTTCGTTCGAATGATTGTGAGAAATACTAGAATTCACCATATAACGAAAAACTGAAATACTATTATTTAGAAATGGCTGTATGGGTTTTCAACTGATTTATAATTTTATTACATCAAAATCACTTCTTATACTTTCGCATGTTAGCATACCAATATTTCATGAATATCTCTAAACATAAATAAGCTATAAATATGTAAAACAACAAGTCGTTAATCAGAAACTAATCCCCTTGAAAATGTCGACCAGATAGCAAAGTAGAAGAGCCATTGATGTTGATCCACTTAATATCATAAGAGACACCACTCCCAAAACCAAGCCTGGCCTGCTATCCATCAGCAAATTCTGCAACAACCCTACTGCTTCAAAAACATCTGAATGATAATTCACGTACCATTTCTTCTCCCACTCCATCCAATTCGCCGGCGGCGAGTGATTTTCCTCAGCCATCTTCTGATCATGTATTCTCATTCTAAGAAGAATCATGTTTTCATCAACCAATCTTCCTTTCTGTTGCCCTTTATCATGGCCTGCATCTTTTTTCACTGCAAAAACTGGACTGTAAGCTCTTTCTCGTCGACTGGGAGATGGTTTTTTAGGCATAAAATTGCCTGAAAATGGAAGTGAACACTGGAGGGATGGAAGGGAAGTTGTTTGCATTGTTTTCATCGAGATAATTTCTAACAAATATGATTGAGTTGTATGTATATGTATCTAGATAGAACAGAAATAACGATAAGTTTGTGGGGACGTGTATTTATAGAGCTGAATGATTCGACATTCCGTGTGATGGATTAATTGAGCAATTGGGATTTAGCGTGTTTTGTGATGGTGTAATTACGGGGGAAATAGCTGTCTTAAGGCCAAAGGACATTCGGCGATAATCATAGGAATATTACCAATACCCTGGTTGATGTACATTATTAAGTGTAGAATGCATTTCAAATTGTGATATGATGAAAAATATGTAGTTAAAAAATAAGGAAAAAATTTGAATTTGCGGATAATATTATTTTATTGAAGTATGTGTGGTTGAAAATAAATTTTGAAAAAATAAATTTTTGTAAGAATGTGGATCAAACATGGTCCAATAATGCGATTCATAAAGAATTTTGCTAAATGTACCCGAGCGTTTACACGATCCCGCCGCCCCCCTCACAATGAGGGGGGCCCGAGGTGAATAAAATAATGGGCGGCCCCCCATTGTGAGGGGGGAGCGTGGGACATGCCCGTGTACCTGTAGCATCTCTTATTCATAAACTGACCATTTATATATTTAATCGACGTTACGATTTCGCTCCAGATCATTTGTTGGATTGCACGGAAATAATTCTCCGTTTATACATATATTCCTTGTTAGGTATAATTTAAATTAGATTTTTAGTTGATTTTGTTAAAAGTTGATAAAATTAGTAGATAGAAATTGTGATCTATGAAATGTATAATTAAAATCAACTATTAACTTTGACTTTACTTTTTTATCAGAATTTGAAGCCACACCAAAAAAACAGGGACATAGTATTATATTCTTAAAAAGAATGTTTATTCGAAGACAATCGTTGACTTTTGGCTTTTAGATTTGTATGATAAAAAGATACAATGGATTTGGAAGAAAAAAATCAAAATATATTTTAAATGTAACCGTCCTTTCTGATCCTTAAGCGTGTTTATTAAATAGGAAAAGCAAACGCGTCCATCTCAACTTTTAAATTTTGTCTTGAGCGAATTGTTCATGTTGTTTTAACTTTTAAAACATTATTACAACTTAAATTATTCCTAATCATGGTCCGATCCTACGTTAAGCAATATTTTTGTTTTCGAAACTATTCAAATACGAAGTTTTTTCGATTTCAAATAGCTCAATTTTGAATGATAGTGGACATGCTTAACCGTATATATCTTTGAAGTTTTCAGCGATACAACTGAGTCAAATGAAAAAAAGAGTTCAAATTAATTCCAGAATTAAAAAAAATAAAATTAAAATCGGAGGAGTGATGAGGTTATTTTAAAGAATGTTTGGGGTATATTTTATAGCAATCATAAACTCATTCGGGACTTGACTCTTGGAAGTCATGTGACAACCTATAGTAAAACATTAATTAAATCAAACGTTCCCTCAAATTCTTTACTAGGATTATTTAAATCTATGCTGTCTGTGATGAAAACCTGGAATCATAGTCAGATGCAACTCACCTGAAAATAGCAGTCACCAACACAAATTAAAATCTTATTCAATTACACAAATAGAAAATATAACATTGCATATCAAACGTGCCCATAGTGTCTTATGTATAAACGAGCACTAAAATTATTTTTGTATGCATCAAATGGCCAATTTTTACGTCGAGAATTATCTATTTAATCAGAAATAGGTATTACAGCCATGGTAAATAGCTCTTACCAAATTATTGAATTTTACGATATTTTCGCTAATATAACATGGAGGGTGCCTAAGTTCTGGATTTTAGTTACAAGATCCACCAAATTTTCACTATTCAAAAAAAAAAAGAAAAAAAGAAAAGGGAAAATAGATCATTAGCTGAGAAAAAGACATGACCTCCATTATTGCACAAGCATCTCCTTTGGATTAGCACCTGTATGAGATAAATAATAGAAAGTGGCACAATCTCTATTAACATCATCAGCTGTCCAAGTAATTACAAACCTTCAAGGTTAAACAGACTAAGTGGATCAGATGGAGGAGAAGAATCAAGCTTCTGGTTGGGTTTACCTTGCTCAAGAAGGGGAGATTCAGGTTGGTCGTATGGTTCCGCAGGATCAGTTTCAAGAGGCTCAAGCTTTGTAGTTGTTTCTAATTGATCACGAGGTGGAGGCTCAAGTTGCTGGTACTTGGGTTTATTTTTCTCCAGGAGGAGGAAAGTAGTGTAATACCAAAACAAAAGTATTCTACTTTGAGCTATCACTGTATCTCTAATCCGACTGCCTCCAAAGGAAAGCCGTTCAAGTGCCTGAAAAGGGGAACGCCCATAAAAGAAAGAAAAAAATGGATAAAATGAAGTAGTAAAACATTTGTAAGAGAAGAAATAAAAATGCACAGTTCTTCTGAGCTGGCCCTTTGTTATAAAAATATATGGAAGGAAATGATTAATCTGAATTTATTGGAATTTGATTGACTTCAGTATTTCATAGGATAGTCGAGGGAAGATTAACTCCAATTGCGACAATCAAGAGTTAAAATCCCGGAGTGTAACATCCTCACGTCAAGTTGGTAGAATTGAAACCAGGTGAAGTTTTGATAGTAGAAATGTACTAATATAGGTCAACATTCCCCTTAAACTCAGAATCTCGAAAAAGAAGCAAGATGATATTTGAAATGTAAATCAAGGAATCTAGACTTCATCTGTCTTGAAAAGAGTTGAATAATATAACTAATGATGAGAGGGGACCACTCTTGTTTGCTCATCATCAAGTTCTAAGTTTGCTGCTGCCTTGTTGACGAAGCTTCCTCCTATCCCCAAGACAAAGGTCGCTACAAGCAGAGCTCAATTAAGGATAAAAGGTTGTCCTCTCAAATCCAATGCAAAGACCAAGTATGTTGAGACAAAGCTTGTTGCTTAGCCTGAATCCACTAAAGAAGGTAGTGCTTGCAACTAAGAAAGCTTTTCAGAAGGTGCAGGCAGTTTTGAAGAAGGTAGTGACAGGGTCTAATTTGCTGGTGAGGCCGTTTTGAGTCAAAAAAGAACTAAAAACACGTACAAGTACACCAAGTCTTACACCATCAAGAGGCTAGAGAAAAGAAAAAGTGCCTGCGGAGGGAGAGGAAAGAGGACCTAAACCAGCATTTTGCCAAAAGGCAAAAGGAGAAAGCCAAGAGAGAACCAAGGCACATTGCTTGGTCGAGCAACAAAAAAGAATTAAAAGAGAATCTTCTATGTTTAATCAGCCGAAATAGAAGAAAAAGGAGATCCCCATGTAGGTCACAGAATTTGGATACCAACCGGAAAGTGATACAAAGAATAATTGAATCAACATAATGCAATATCACAACTCTTTTGTTAACGAAATTAAACTCTTTCACGGTAACTAGAAAATGATAAGATGTGAAATAAAATGTATATAGTCTTCACTCACTTGTTCACCAGATTGTATATCAAATGAGTGCTGATGATCAAATTGAAGGCCAGTAAATTCGTTTATGCAAAGCCCTTGAAATCCCCTGAAAGTAACAGCAAATATTAGAATCTACTTTTTATGCAATTGTCCAAGGGGAAGGAGAGGATTGACCTCTCCTCCACTCAAACAAACCACAAAGCATTTTGCAAAATAACTATGAATAGAATTACCATCTTATGAGAGAAACGCGGGGAATCCACCGAAAAATGATTGGCGTGTTCTCTGCATTGACATAGTAGCCTCCAAATACAATGAAAACTGTCATAAGAGATGGTCCTAAGGCCAATGCTGCTTCAGTGGTTGGAACCATAGCTCCCACAGTTAGGCCCATTGCAGATGCAGCAAAGGACTCGGTGGTTACTATTCCACAAAACCTCCCAAATCTAGAAAGCCAATCTTTACCGTTAGTTTTCAGAAAATACTGTACAACTTATCCAAGTAATTATTCTCTAATGTCTAATGGCAAAACATTTTACTTATAAATTCAGCTTTTGCATCATACCCCAATTAATAAAATGGGAAAAGTTCAAGGTTGTGCAATTGCTTTATACTGTATCCAGTTAAGTTGTTATACTGAGACAGTGTCAATGGTCTTTCTGGTGCATGTAAATGATGATCACCATGCACATTACCTTTTGTTTTCACAAATTCAAATTAATTCTCTCTGGACTTAAAAATATATATGATTTTATGTTGAGTGAAACTTAAGGTTATGTATCTTCTTGCCTACAACTAAGAAATTAAGAACAGAACCTAAACAAGACTTTTGATGATTATCAAATTGCTTACCAAAAAATAATACAACAACTTTAACTGCAGGATCCTCGTCAACTATAGAGGGATCACTGAGTGAGTAATTCATTCTTTTTCTGTTAACCCCCACATCCTTGGCTATTTAACATATAGAACATGTATAGAAATATCCTATGCTTAGTGATAACAAAAGCATGAAACTAAACATAGTCCAAAAAATTTAGAAGATTTCACTTCACGTTTATCATTTGGGTTTCAGGGAGATTGTGTATTATCTCCATTCAATCAAGAGGGAAATCTTCCTCACAACAACATGCTCCATCTCATAACAGGGAGATACTATGTTAAATAGCCTCCAAAGTATCATATAAGGTCAGCAAACTTACAAGACACTGCGGTTAAATATAAGGAAAACCCAACCTTGACATGGTAGGATGAAGACAAGCCATGGGGTACAAAATGGTACCAAACAGCAATGGGAATGCTGCTCCAACGGGAATCTCAGCTAACAATTTTGAGAGTAGATATGGTCCCAGTGAATAGGATCCCTTGGCTCTCTCCCTGTCAACAATTGCACGTTCCATAGGGAAGACACTTACAGTCTTTGTAAGTGCAGCCATCGCAGTGTTTATAGCAGCAACCTGAAGGATAGGGAAATATAAAACCAAGGTATAAGAGACACCTAAATGAAGACTCAAACATCCTTTTCATAGGATACCTCATATAAAGTTGTATGGTGATCAAAGCTATACTCGTATACTTATTTCTGTCCTCCACTTAGCAGGAAGAGCAATTCTTGGAGAATTGACTCAATTTAATTGCATGCGTGGACATGAAAACTAAAGATCAAGAACATTCTATGAGCTTTAGAATTACGCTATTCAACTCAAAAGATATAAATTACGGAAAAGACTTAAAAGAAGTTTGAAGGATACGTGGGTTAGAACTGGGTGTAATATCCAAGTAGAGTTAAATTATGACACCCAACTTCAAAAACCAAGAAAAAATTCACATCCATGACCTTGTGGGCAGTACATTCATAGAATATATAGTACAGCTCTACATCAACACTGGGGACAAAAACCCATACAGAAGTGTATTTACACACCCCTTATTGAGCATGCATATCTCTTTCCAAAAAGCCTCAAGTTCCAAAGCAAATTGTGTTGTGTTATAATGATCCATCATAAATCAGATAATAGTCACCTTTTTGAGTATTTAAAAAGAGAGGGGGGGGGGGGGGGG